AGCGAGGGAGCTCGGCTTTGGACACGCTGACAGGACATCCAGCTCTCGATGTCCAGAAAGCAGAGATCTAGGCGTCTCCTGCAGGGACATGATAAATTCCTCCATGAAATGGCAGCATCGGACTAGATCAATCAACCAATCGATGAGCACTGACTAAGGGGCTATGACGTTTGAGCTTTACAAGGTCCTTGTCTATGAATTAAGAAAAGGGTTTGAAAGATCACTGCGGAGCTAACTGGGGACTTTGTAATCCTCTCGGTCGCCATGCTAACCATGCGGCGAGTATCAATACCGAAAGAGCAAAGCACTTAATTAGGATGGAAATGAATAGTAAAGCAACCCAAAAAAATCTTAGCCACATCCTCCAACGAGTACTTTCACTTCCTCCACCAGAGCAGTTTAGGAAGGAGGCTTTTCCCCAGTTCAGGACTCTGAGAAAAGGCAAGGGCTGGACGGTTGTCCCAAAGGGGCTCGGAGGCTAAGGCCCTCTAGGAAGGCCCTGGTGTTTAATCAATTATGGGCTCTCAGTTTGTCCCAACAGAGACACCCAGGCACCAGCTGGTCTGTGGGCCCCTGGCCTCACTGCAGTTGGCTCTCTTGTTCTCCCTCAAACAACACTGAACCTCTGAGCCCGGGTGCGCTGGGGAATGGAGCCCTTTCTCACCAGGACCACACCTGTTAAACACGGGAAAGCCAGAGCAAGAAAACTACCAAGAGGAGGTGTCTCCATGCCTTAGAGAAGCTCCACTCCTGACTCCCAACTTTCTTCATCCCTGCCCTTCTCACGCTGGAAATACCCTTAGCCCTAGGGCCCCTTCCTCTAATTGGTCAACTTCTCCCAGAGCCTCCAATGCAGGAGAAGCAGCCAGGACCACCAGGAATTCATTCCTCTCTGGACTTCTTTGTCAGTCCCTTCTCCTGCCTCCCCCTCAGTATCTTTTTATCTGCTGTTTTCCCCCATTAGAATGTAAGCTCCTCGAGGGCAGGGACTGTCTTTCTGCAACTTGCACTGGCCTAGTACACAGTAAAGTGCTCAATAATGTGGTACAGCAGATGGAGTATGGGACCTGAAGTTGGGAAGATTTGAGCTCAAATCCGACCTTGAGACACTTACTAACTGTGCAACCTTGGACAAGACACTTCACTTTTGCCTGCCTCAGTTTCCACATCTGTAAAATAGAAATAACGATAGCACCTACCTCCCAGGGCTGTTATGAGGAAAAAATGAGATATTTGTAAAGCACTTTTCAAACTTCAAAGCATTATATAAATGCTGGCTATTAACATTATTAATGGTAGTAATAATAAATGCTTGTTTACTTGACTTTGGTCATTAATTCATTCGTTCAACAAATATCAACGTGTCAGACGATAAACCCACAGGAAAAACAGAGTGACTTTATAAACATCTGACTTGCTCTTCATAAGGAGGAGGGCAAGGAGGCGTTTTCTGGGTGGGTGAAAGACCCTGTAATGTGATCATGTGCACCTGAGACCGTTTCTTTACCCAACCTAACAATAACATCGAGGCGAACGTACTGACCAGGTCCCACAGATAACAGAGAAAAGCTGGGATTCTGGCTCCTCAAAGGACAGCTATGGAGGCCGAAGGGACGGTGGAGGCTGGGGCAACCCGAGGAAAGGCTTGAGGTTACACAGGTACAAGCATCACGGGCAAGATTTGAAGCCGGATCTCCCGACTTCCAGACCAGGGGTTTGTCCTCTCCACTAGTGGTGACCAACTCAAACAGAAATGGGGCCACTCCCCCATCCCTCCAGGCCCGGCAGCACGCCGGCTTAGTTTGTTTAATTGCATTTTTATTTTGTTAAATATTTCTCAATTACATTCTAATCTGCTTCAGGCCCCCTTGGCTAGGTTGCAGGCCCCATGTTTGACCTCACTCAAGCAGACAGACATTCCTCCTCCACGTTATTTCTTTTCTTTCTAATTTCAAGTCTTCCTCCTTCAGGAAGCTTTCCAGGATGAACCCACCCCCCATTCCGCAGCCTCCCAGGACCGGCTTTGCCATCCCTTCCCTTCAATGCCCTCCAGCAATTCTACTTTTCTATTACCTAGACAGACCCTTCACGACAAAACCGTCTTCTTTAAATGCATCCAAACACTGCTTTGGACTTCTGTTCTCCACCCAGACCTGGCACGATCTCATTAGTGAAAAAATCATCTGCACCTGATGCCTCTACTTACCCTCTTCTCCATCTTTCCTTGACCCTCTGCGGCCTTCCAACCTTACTCCACCCACCCTGCTCCCTCCAAAGTGACCAGTCATCTCCTAACTGCCCGACGTAATGGCCTTTGCTCAGGCCTCACCTTTCCTGACTTTGCTTGCAGCCTTTCACACCGCTGATCCCCCTCTTGTCTTCCCTCCAGGTTTTCATACCAGCAAAAGCTCCGGGTTCTCCTTCTACCTGGGCCAATCTTCCTTCCCAGTCTCCTCTGCTGATTTGTCATTCAAGTCACCCTGACCCGACTGACCCTGGGCCTTCTTTTCCTTTCTCATTAGCCTCTCACTAGACGATGTCATCGGCTTCCATCTCTAAGCAGATGTTTCTCACATCTGTATGTCTAACCCTCGTGTGTCCCAAGCTTCAGTCCTGCATCACCAACTGGCCACTGGCCATTTCAACCTGACCAGAGTCACAATCTTCCCCCCAAGCCTTCCTTTCTCTGGATCTTCCGGAGGTCTGTGCCCTCAGCATCATCCCCAGCTCTCTCTCTCCTTTGCCTCCCCAGTGCCCAATGGCTGCCCAATCTTCTCGAGGCCATTTCCACCAGTCTTCCTTTCTGCACTCTCAAAGCTGCCATTCTAGGTCATCGCCACTTGCTGGACCATTACCGTAACCTTCAATCTGGCCTTCCTACTATGAGGCTCTCCCCACTTCAATCCATCCACCCTCCAGACAGCTGCCAAAACCTCTGAAGAAGAGGTCTGATCCTATCAAAGCCCCAGCCCCAATCAATAAACTCCAATGATTTCCAATTGCCTCCAAAAGCAAAGATACAATTTTCTGTTTAACATTAAATTTTCAAAACATTTTGAACTAGGAAGCTAGGTGGCACAGTGGATAAGGTGCTAGGCCCGGAGACAGAAAGATCTGAGTTCAAATCCTATGCCAGACACTTCCTAGCCCTGTGACCCTAGGCAAGTCACTTCACCTGTTTGCTTCCATTTCTGTTGCCTGTAAAAAGTGGGGATAATAACAGTCCCTACCTCCCTGGGCTGTTGTGTGGATCAAATGAGATGATATTTGTAAAGTGCTTTAGAAACCTTAAAGCACTATATAAATGCTAGATATTATTTCTATTAGCTAACTGAAACACTAAGGGCATTTCGATATACAGCAGATCACAAAGGGTGAAACTATGAATCTCTATTTCATATTGCTTACTTTTTAAAAAGTACACAATAAATTCTACATATTACTTTCAAAACTATCCCATTTGAACATGCTTCCTTTTGAAATTCCTTCTGCACATTAAAAATATTTCAATGGTCATTTTTTGAACCTCCTTACTGCAAACTCCCACCCCCCACCCACCTCCAATTAACTGAAAGAAAAAAACATTTGCAATAATCATAGTCGTACAAAATAAATCCAAACAGCAGGTATGTTTAAAAATGTACCTTGAGTTTATCATCACTTCTGTATCAGGAGCTGGGCAGCATGCTTCATCACAGTGCTTTAGAGACAAGGCTAGCCATGTCACTGATCAGAGTTAAAAAGTCTGGCACAGAGCTGGCACTTAAATGCTTATTCCCTTCCCTTTCAACTGCTGAAATAAATTTACCTTTCTAGGTTTTGTGTGAGTCTCGTATTTGCATCTCAGAATTCCTAATCAGCTCTAGTCTTTTCATCAGAAATATTTAAAAGTCCTCTATTTCATTAAAAATTCATCTTCCCCTACAGGATTATACTAAGCTTGCAAAGTAAATTATCCTTGATTGTAAGCCTCTTATCTTTTGCCTTTGGGATTATTGTAGTCCAAGATCTCTTCTCATTCAAGGCAGAAGATGTCAGATCTTGTGTCATCCTGACTGTGGGTCTTTGGTACTTGAACTGCTTCTTTCTGGATGCCTGTAGCATTTTTTCTTTCAAAGTTCTGGATTTTGGCTATGGCATTCCTGGGACTTTTCCTTTTGGGGCTTCTTTCTGAAGATGATTGCTAGATTATATCTTCACTTTGACTTCTGGCTCTAATAGATCTGGGATGTTTTTATTGGTAATACCTTGAAATATAATTTCCAGGGCTTTTTTTTAAACCATGGTTTTCAGAGTCCTATGATTCTTTAATTATCTTTCCTTGATCTATTTTCTAGAATAGGTTTTTGTTTTTTTAAAAAATCAGATATCTTACATTTTATCCTTTTGTTTTTTCTAATCTCTTGATAGTATCCTAAAATTCCTTGCTACCTCATGGAGCTACTGATTTTCTTAGGTCTATTCTAGTTTTTGGGGAGTCCGTTACTTGGGTAAAGTTTAACAGTTTCCCTTCTAAGATATTAATTCTCCTTCAAAGTCTTCCCTCAAGAGCTTTTATTTTATTTTAGCTCTTGCTTCTTCTTCTAAATAGTCTGGGTAGAAAATCCATGTTTCTCCTTTGGGTCCTGCTTGTAGTTATTATGGAACCATTCTCTCCTTCTTTGGGGGGAATCTTTAGATATGTAATAATTTCAGATACTGGTCAGTGCTTTCTTTGATATATTCATCTCACTAGCTTGAGTTCATGAATTGAGGTGGAGGTGAGGAGGGAGGGCATTCCAGGCACGGAGGATAGCCAGTGCAAAAGCATGGAGATGGGAGACATATGTTGTGTGTGAGGACCAGAGAGACAGCCCATTTGGCTGGATCACATCATACAAGCCTTGAAGGAATGTTCAGTGAGTGAGGTTTGAAAGATAATTTCAAGGCAAGTTGTTCTCCAAGACTTAAGGAGAAGAATTCAGAATCAGGTATCCTTCCTGCTCAACCCCTTGACTCACCTGAGGAGCAAGTGTTGACCCTCCAGAGTCTTCACCCAATACACAGACTGCCCTGCGTGGCCGTCCAGGGTGGTGTCTACTCTTCGGGTCTCCAGGTTCCAGACATGTATCAGTCCACCGAGTGACCTGTCAAACAATACTCCAGATGTTGTTTTAGTTAGCCCTGGAAGTGTGACTGCTGCCCCTCCCCCCCCAACCCCACCTTTTCTTTTAAAACTCCCTGGGATCCAAAGACCACTGCTATCCAGGAAGAGGTGACCTCCCTATAATGTGGCAGATGATGGGAATGAGACCTGATGTGCTTGTGAACAAAGATGGCGTCTCAAACCCCAAAGGAGCCATCCGGCTGTATAAGACTTTCATTTCTCTCTAGTCATCCCCAGCACTGCCCTCACCTCTAAGAAAGACCTGCAGCAGTGAGTGACCTGTCCACAATGGCCTAAGAAAGCGCAGAACCTCAAGATTGAGAGAGTGCCTTCCTCACAATAACCCAATCAGCAAGGCAGGACAAGTAGTATAATCCCCAATTTTCAGAAGAGGAAACAGAGGCTGGGAGAGCGGAAGGGTCTTGCCTAAGATCACATCTGTCTTGGTGGTGGTGGAGTAAGGACTCTAAATTCCTGGCTCCTTTCCCTGGACCACCAGGCCTCTCAAATTTAAAATGAAATCCAGAGCAGAAGGCAAGTTTAATCCTATTTAAGTGAACAAAGTGCTTTTCAAATACTTCAGGAACATCCATCTACATACAACTGAAAGGCCATTACCAAGCACTCTTACTTACTCATTAAACCAGGTTAGAAGGACCTCTACTCACCAGTACTTGGTTAGACTTAGTTACTTAGTATACGTGAAGATAACAAAAACAATGTTTCTTTACAAAGGTATTTTCCAACAGAAAAGGCTGATCACGTTGCTTACCCAGAGAACAGCAGTGGGGGGCTGTGGGCCTTGCTTCTGCAGGAGAAATGCAGGGTATTTACTGCTGACTGCGAACCTCGAAGTACAAACTGTGGTGAAGGAGGGGCAAGAGCCATGACCGGGAGAGAAATCCACGAACACCTGCCTTCTCAAGAAAGAAAGAACAAAACAATGTGCTTACTTCTGTCCATCTTGGCTTAAAGCTCATAAATGCTGAGGGAAGGGAGGGCTTCCTTTTTTTTTGGTCACAGAATCACAAAATGTATGAGTTGAAAAAGGACTCAACCACCCCTTAGTCCAACCTGCATGTGGAAGGAAAGCCCTAGAACATCCCTGAAAGTGGTCCTCCAGCCTCTGTCTGAAGCTCCCCTCCCCAGGAGGGCCCCCCTCCCATTCTGAAGCTGCCCTCCCCCAGGTGGGCCCCCATCCCACTCTGAAGCTCCCCTCCCCCAGGTGGGCCCCCCATCCCATTCTGAAGCTCCCCTTCCCAGGAGGGCTCCCCTCCCATTCTGAAGCTTCCCTCCCCCAGGAGGGCCCCCCTCCCATTCTGGGGCAGCTCTCCTTGGGACGTCTGTCCTGGCTCAAGCCCAAATTTGCCTCTATGCAACTTCCACTGGTTCCTGGGTCTAGCACCCAGACCAAACACTGCTAATTCCTCATCACTACAATGGCCAGGCACATGGTTAAAGCCCGACACCAGGTGCCTTCTGTCTGTTCCCTGGCCTTTCCCGTTTTCATCTGACACAGACTTAAGAGCTCATCACACCAGACTAGCTGCCATCGGGATGCTCTCTCCCTTGTGTACGTCCTTCTTAAAATGTGGTGCCCACTTCAGGGAGAGGTGGAGCCAAGGTGGTGGAGCAAAGGCAGGGACTCACCTGAGCTCTCCCCCAAACCCCTCCAAATACCCTTAAAATGGCTCTAAACAAATTCCAGAGCAGCAGAACCCACAAAAAGAGAGAGTGAAATGAATTTCCAGCCCAAGACAACTTGGAAGGTTGGCAGGAAAGGTCTGTTGCACCAAGGCACTAGGGCTCCAGCAAACCTGGAGCAGGCCTCAGGGGCCTTTATCACTGGCAGCAGCGGCAGTTTCCAGACCTCCCAGCTCACAGATGCCAAAGACAACTTAGAAAGGTCTGTCACAGCTGGGTGAGAGTGGAGTCAGTATAGAGCAGACTGGGCCCCAGTAAACCAGGAGCAGGCCCTGGGAGTGACTGAATCAGTAGCTACAGTGGCTGATTCCAGAGTTCTCTGCCCACAGACGGTAACAGGGTCGAACGACCGGTCAGAAGCAGATTACAGGGGTCTCTTTGCTAGCACTAAGGCAGGACTCTGTTGCTTTGCCCATACTCAGATCCAGGTGCTGGGTGGCAGTTCCAGGGTGAGGAGGAACACTAGCACTCCAGAGCTTATGGCCGCACAGGAGGGGGGAACTTCCTCAGAGTTCTAGGGCAGAAGAGTGCTTGTGGTCACTTATAGACCACAGCACAGACCAAGAGAGGAATAAACACCTCTCCTTAGATCACACCTCCTTGAAAGAACTGAAAACTTACAGGTCCCTAGAAGTATCTCTGAAACCAGTTGTGCAAAACCCCTGAAATTTGGGACAGTGCACCCTCTACCCTGGAAGCAGAGCCCTACTTTAGAGTTAAAAGTCAAGACACAGGCTGGGAAAATGAGCAAACAGGGGCAGAGCCAAGATGGCAGAGGAAAAGCAGTGACTTGCTTGAGCTCTCCCTCAAACCCCTCCAAATACCTATAAAAAATGGCTCTAAACAAATTCTAAAGCAGCAGAACCCACAAAAAAACAGAGTAAAACAAATTTCCAGCCCAAGACAACCTGGATGGCTGATCAGAAAGGTATATCGTGCCGGGCGGGGAGAGGAGCGCAGTTTGGCGTGGGTGTGCAGGCCGCAGCGACCCTTGAGCAGGCCTCAGAGGGCTGAATCACAGGCAGCTGTGGCAGTTTCCAGACTTCTCAACCCACGAACGCCAAAGACAACTTAGAAGGTCAGTGTTGGAAAAGCCTGTGACTGCGGTGACAGAAGAAGCTAGGTCTCAGCCACCCTGAGGGCAGCGGCCACCTCCTGAGCTTCTGGCCCACAGACTGAGGGGGAGTCAAGTGGCTGATCAGAAGGGGATTGCAAGGATCTCTTTGCCAGGGCTGAGGCCAAAATCTCTTGCTTTGCCCATGCTTGGATCTGGGTCACAGTTCTGAGGGGTGGTCCTGGGGCGAGGAGTAATGCTGGCGTGGTGGTTGTTGTGGCAGTGGAGAGGAAACACCTCGCCCCTTATCATACCACCTTGGAAGAACTGAAAATTTTCAGGTCCCTAGAAGTATCTCTGAAAACAGCTGTACAACCCCCCAAAGCTTGGGCCAGTACATTCTCCACATTGGAAACAGACTCTTACCTTAACAAAGAGTTTAAAACTCAAGTAATGGTTGGGATCATGAGCAAACCTCGCAAAAAGAGTCAGACTATATTATCTTACTTTGGTGACAAATAGGATCAAAACATACAACCAGAAGAAGAAAACAAAGTCAAAGCTCCTACATCCAAAACTTCCAAGGAAAATGAGCAAACAACAGAAAAAATTCTCACCATAGAAAGCTACTATGGTGACAAAGAAAATCAAAACACACACTCAGAAGACAATAACACAGTCAAAGCTCCTACATCCAAAACCTCCAAGTAAAATATGAATTGGTCTCAGGCCATGGAAGAGCTCAAAAAAGATTCTGAAAATCAAGTAAAAGAAGCAGAAGAAAAATTGGGAAGAGAAATGAGAGTGATGCAAGAAAACCATGAAGAACAAGTCAACAGCTTGGTAGAGGAGGCACAAAAAAATACTGAAGAAAATAACATCTTAAAAACAAACTAGGCCAAATGGTAAAAGAGGCACAAAAAGCCGATGAGCAGAATTCTGCCTTCAAAAGCAGAACTGGCCAAATGGAAAAGGAAGTCCAAAGCTCACTGAAGAAAATGATTCCTTAAAAATTGGAATGGAGCAAATGGAAGGTAATGACTTTCTGAGAAATCAAGAAACAATAAAACAAAACTAAAAGAATGGAAAAAATGGAAGACGATGTGAAGTATCTCATTGGTAAAATGTGGTGCCCAGAACCGAATTCTATGCTCCAGGGGAAGTAGGGTGGAGGAAGAGTATAGTGGGACCACCCATCACCCAGTTCTTCATGGGAACCATGCATCAGTTTCCTCCTCTGAAGACACACAGTAGACACAAGTAAACAGTAACATATGAGGAACTCTGAAGAAGAATCAGAGAAATGTATGATTGGAAAAAAAAGAGATAGAGAGAGAGAGATAGGCTGGTTACCTGGCAGGAACAAGAGTGACTGGCAGACGGCCAGTCTTGTGCACTCTTGGAATTTCTCAACATCCAGAGAAAGGCGCCGGCACATTCTGTAGACTCCCTATAGCAACTTTATGGCAGCATGTGAACAGTGGCAGCACTGGTGGAGCAGGAATGGATAGGATTCATAACTCTGGTTAAGTCATGTAACTGCTGTTTGACTCAGTTTGCTCAGCTGTAAAATGGGGATAATAATAATAGCACCACCTTCCTAGGACTATTTTGAGGATCAAATGAGATAATAATTGTAAAGTGTTTATTTAGCACAGCTCCTAACACAGCTGCTGTAGCCACCACCACCACCACCACCACCACACTACTACTACTACTACTACCACCACCACCACACTACTACCACTACTACCACCACCACCACTACTACTACCACTACCACTGCTATTACTACTACTGGTACCACTACCACTACCACCACCACCACCACCACCACCACCACTACTACTACATCAATGACTGAGAAGATGGCATAAATGGCAGGGTCATCACATTTGCAGATGACACGAAGCTGAAAACAATAGTCAGTATTCTGGATGGACAGGTTTAGAATCCAAAAAATTATCTAGAATATTGAGCCCAATTTATTAAGATGAAATTTACATAGAAAAATGTAAAGTCTCACATTTGGATCAAAAATTAATTTTACAAGTAGATAGAGGAAGTATGACTAGAGAGCAACTAATCTGAAAATGGGGAGCGTGGGGGGAGGTGTGGTGCCAATGGACTCCAAGCTCAGGGATGAGTCAAACTGAAGGGGCAGACAATGTCATGCTGCTTCAAGAGAGGCATAATTTAAATTAAAACAACTCTGAGGTACCACCTCCTACCTATCAGATTGGCTAATACGAAAGAGAAGGAAAATTATAAATGCTAAAGAAGATGTGGGAAAATTGGAACACTAATGCATTGCCGATGGAGTTGTGAACTGATCTAATCATTCTCGAGAGCAACTTGGCACTATGCCCAAAGGGCAATCAAACTGACCCTTTGACCCAGAAATACCACCACTAGGTCTATATCCCAAAGAGATTTAAAAAGGGTGGGGAGACCTACATGTATAAACATATTTATAGCAGTTCTTTTTGTGGTGGCAAAGAACTGGAAATTCTCATCAATTGCTCATCAAATGGGGAATGGCTGAACAAGTTGTGATACATGATTCTAATGGAGTACTACTATTGTGCTATAAGAAATGATGAGCAGTCGGATTTCAGAAAAACCTGGAAAAATTTACATAAACTGATGCAGAGTGAAATGAGCAGAACCAGGAGAACACTATACACAATAACAGCAACACTGTACAATGATCAACTGTGAATGACTTAGCTCTTCTCAGCAATACAATGATCTGAGACAATTCCAGAGGGCTCATGATGAAAAAAGGTATCCATCTCCGGAGAAAGAACTGATGGAGTCTGAATGCAGATCGAAACATACTATTTTTAACTTTATTTCTCTTGTTGTCGTTTTTTTTTTTTTTGGTCTGTGTCTTCTTTCACAACATGACTAATATGGAAACATGTTTTGCAAGACTGCACATGTGTAACTTGTATCAAACTGCTTATTGTCTCAGGGAAGGGGGAGGGGAAGGAGGGAGGGAGAGAATTTGGAACTCAAAATTTTAAAAAACAAATGTTAAAATTGTTTATCTACATGTAATTGAGAAAAAAAGTTAAATGCTCGCCCCCCTCCAAAAAAGGAGAGAGGCACAATTTCAACTAATAAAGAAATGACAGTCTTGCCAAATTCTGTCCT